TTAAACTGACCAACCAAAATGTTAGGAGAAAGTGATCAAGCTTCAGAGTCCAGGAGATATCATCGATATTAAGCCAAGCGGGAGGAGGGTGAGGTGAGAAATTTGGCTTGATATTAAACTCATGATGTCGGCGTTGATCAAAAAGTAGTTTTTTTGTTGTTGACACCTCTTAGAAGGTTGCGAAGAAGGAACTATTCCATTTCGGAATTTACTCTGTTGAAGAGTCCTGAGTTACTGGGAAGCTGGCACATTTCTGAACCTTGCGTGATCCCAATAAAGGTCTTCTTTTACTGTCTCTGTTTGAATTTTGTTCTAATGGCCAATATGACTTCCTGCTTTTGATTAGTCTCAGATGCGTCTTTTTGCAGCAGCTGCGTATGAAATGGTCTATCTTACACATACGTACATGGTAAGCTTTTTTTTGCAATTCGATTTGAAAGGGTGGGAACACGCCGTTCAAGAAAGGAGTGGCATCTTAAATGACTTAACAGTGCAATCTGGTATCTACTCAGAAGTAAGTAAAGGGACCTTTGTTGTTGTTGTTTAGTCGTTTAGTCGTGTCCGACTATTCGTGACTCCATGGACCAGAGCACTTCAAACACTCCTGTCTTCCACTGCCTCCCGCAGTTTGGTCAAACTCATGTTGGTAGCTTCGAGAACACTATCCAACCACCTCGTCCTCTGTCGTCCCCTTCTCCTTGTGCCCTCAATCTTTCCCAACATCAGGGTCTTTTCCAGGAAGTCTTCTCTTCTCATGAGGTGGCAAAAGTATTGGAGCCTCAACTTCACGATCTTACTTACTTACTGGGACCTTACTCCCAGGTAAATTGGCACAGAATCTTCCTTGGGCAGCGGACGAAATCTGATGCCCTCAGAGATCTGCGGTGCTGCAAGCCTCCCTTTCTTGGGAATAAACGCCATGGAACTGAATGGGACTTGCTTCAGGGTGGGCACGTATTGCATTGCTCTGCTGCTCTCTCCAAATGCCGCAAGCCTCTTTGCGGTGACAAAACCCTAGAATAAAAACTACAAGGAAGTAGAAAAAAACTCGACCCCCTTTGAGAGCGCTCAAAATGTCTGATTTTTCATGCGCCCGATTTTTGTTGACGAAGAGGAAATCTTTTCCTGCAGAAGCTGAATGCGCCGGCGGCAGCTGGTGGCATTTTCTTTGGTCAAGGAGAGCGTCCCATTCAAGGCAATGGGACTCCCGAAGTCAGCCTGTAAAAGGCACGGATCTTGAGGGCTGTGTCCAGGCTTTCGTATTTTCTTTGGAGAGGTGTCAGTCTTTCCAAAGAGAGATGTCAGCCGCGTTTGCCGCTTTGCCTTCACAACGGACGTCAGTCTTGTTGTAACCTAATCGGCAGTCAAATCGGGTTGACATCTGCCTGTCGTGGCCTCGAACTGTCGAGGCTGCGCCGAGAACGCGCTTGTTGTCACGTCAAAGCTTCAGAGCTGAGGAGGACAGAAGCTTGACTTCGCTTTCTCCTTCTCGGTTGTCACCCTCACGTGCCGAGAAAGGAATATGAAACAGGTAAGGGTCTCTCGATTCGAATTCGAGCGGAAACACCCACCAAACACCGACCGATCCGAATCCTCGTCCCCTAAAAGGAAGCCTTGACGATTCTGTATTTGGAACGGAAAGTTCTCTTGCATAGGAAATAGGCTGCGGAATAGCAGCAGGGTGAAGGGAGGTCAGTGCGACTTTCTTTCACTTTGCACGGCCCGATCCGATGCGTGTTTACTCGGGAGTAAGTCCGAGAGAATTCCACAGCGCTCCGCACCCTTTAACATTGCGGAGGAACTGGCCGTATCCGGTCGAATGTATGCAAACGGGCGCAACGGGTGGCAGCTTGATCTTACGCGCACGTTTACACGAAAGTATAATTCGCAATAGTGTTGGGTCCCAAACAACTGCATAGGATTGCAGCCTTAAGTGTTGCAGCTTTCGCTCGCCGCCAGCCCCCGCAGCTGCCGATTTTGTTCCAAATTATGTTTTCTGTGATTATGTGTGGACGGACACATAATTTAGAGTGGGCGGGGGCGATCCTACTGCCAGCACTGAAAAAGGGGAGCTTCACAGCTAAGCAGGTACCTGAAGGAGCTTGATTTTGGCCAGATGTTGGAATTGAGGGTGGAGGGATTGTCACGTGAAGCGAACAGATGTGGAAATTGCCAGCCGGGCACTTCCCCCTCCTCCCCCGTCTTCTTGCCAGTGAACAGCCAGAGCCAGGCTTGGAAGAAAGGAAGTTGAAGTTTAAATCGAGGAAACAACCCTCCGCTCCCCACAATGCCCCATTTTTTATTGCTTGTAAAGACTTTGCCTTGCAAAGAACGTAGGAACGCAGGAAGCTGCCTTATCCGGAGTTAGACTGCTCGCGCGGCTAGCTCAGTATTGACAACGCTGAGTGGCAGGAGGTGTGCAGGATTCTCTTCCAGGTCCTACCTAGAGATGCCAGGGATTGAACTCGGAATCTTCTGTATACAAGACAGATGCTCTACCGCTGAGCCAAGAGCCTTCTCCTTTCCCATTTCCGTCCCTTTGACATAGTTCACCCCCCCACCCCCACCCAGAGAGAGAGAGAGACTTCCACCGCTCTTGTCCTATGGTTTTGCCCAACATGGGGCTCCAAGCCATGACCCTGAGATTAAGAGTCTCATGCTCTACCAACTGAGCTTTCCAATGTCATATCTGAGTGCTGAGCCTTAACCTTGGAACCTGGGGAGACGTCATCAAGCAGATTGCCTCTGAGCAAGTGCAGAATGATTTATTTATTTATTTATTTATTTATTTATTTATTTATTTATTTATTTATTTATTTATTTATTTAGATTAGTGGGAACATCCTGCGGGTTGCAGAACAGAGTTGGTAGGCCCCGCCCCTCCAGGTGTTATTAGGTTCCCTGGCCAATGGCCATGCTGGCTGGGGCTGATGGGAAATGGAGTTCAAAGACACCCTGAGGGGCCGCCCACAGGCGCCTCATTCCCCGTGGTCGAACGTGGTTGGGATACCTGGCTGAACTATTAGGTGAGTTTCTGAGTATGCGACCCAATTCTTGAGAGTCTTTAGCTGACAGAGGGTCCCGTCGCTTCCAACGAGGCTTGGAGTCCAGTCTAAAAGACGCGAGCAGCCCATCCATGTAAGCGAGTCCTAGCCCAGTGCTAGAGCCCACACCTGGACCTGACACACCGAAGGTCCCATGTTGAAGTTCCTGGCATAACTAGTTAAAAGCAGCCCCTGATGGGGAAAAGCTTCTTCCTACCTTAAACCCTGGAGAATAGCAGCTGTCAGCCAGAGCAGGAGACACTAGGCTGGACGGGGTCTCTGACCTGAGGCAGGGCAGCTTGCTGTGTTCTTATATGCAGAGTTCCCCCTGAATTTCAGTGGTCCCAAATGAGGGCAGCGCCTTAACGTGGAAGTCAAGTTTTCTTGCATTCAGTTCAGCCGGGCTTACTTGCCAGTCACTCTCTCCCTGCCTAGCCTACCTCACAGGGTTCTTGTGAGGATGACAGGGATCTTGTTCCTATGAGGAAAGGTGGTCTAAAAATAGACTAATGTAGCGGACCTTTTGTCAATTTCCAGAAGGAGAGCCAGGATAGTTGTGGCAAAGATTCGGAAAGAAGGATATACATTTGTATCCGCTTCCAAGCACTCTAGTCCTCAAAGGCTTAGTCATAGTGGAGTTGTTCTACTCTTCAAGCTTTTTGATAGAATCATAGAGTTGGAAGGGGCAATGAGAGTCATCTAACCCGCCTGCAATGCGGGAGTCTACGACTCGCTTCTATGACAGTCTTCAATCTGGGACAGGCAGCCATTGCTTCCCCCTCCAGATGTTGTTGGACCACAACTGCCATCAGTCCCAGGCAGCACAGTCCGCAGACAGGGATGGTGGGAATTTCAGCAATATTTTTCCTTGGATAACCCTTGTCACTATTTTTATCCCTCACCAACACTGTGTAAGAGACACATCCCTGAGAGGGAATATGCACCTTTGCCCCCCCCCCAATGCCTTCTACAATAGACAGCGGCGGACAGGTGGTGAACCCCTCTGTACCCCCACTCCTTGTCTTCCCTTGGCTGGTCCTTAAGTGACCCACAACGGACCCAAGATGAATTAAGTGCCTGTTATAACATGGCGCTCTCCAAATACTGTTAGAATACAACGCCCATCTTCCTTGACCATTGGTAATATCGGCTGAGACCGATGGGAGTTGTAGTCCAACCATGTGTCAAGGGCACCATGCTCGGTACCCCTTTGAACAGAAATTAAAGGGAATAGAATTGATAGTGCCCTATCCTGGATGCAATACCCGTCGATATCTTTGGTTTGAGGTGTGTCAATCTGCTATCCTTAGCTGGCTCATCTGAAAGAAAGAGCTGTCGAAATCCGAGAGACCGACTTGCAAGCAATCGCATCGATGGAGGCTGCAGAATTTCATTGGTATGGGGGCTCTTTGGAAAGTTACTTTCTGAATAAATCTGCTTGTGGGAAGCCCCATGATGCAAGGTAGGTCTTACTTCCGAGTAAAAACAGATAGGCTTGCACTACAAATCACGACTAAATTATCAGGCTCCAATCCTATACACACTGACTTGGGAGCAACTCACCAGGAGTTATGTATTGACCTGCGCATATATATTTCCTCCTCACCAACCCCCCCCCCCAAAAAAAACACACACCGCAATTTGGATTAGGAGAATCTTCCATGCTGAAGTATGCTGAGTTGAATTTGCGTAGGACAGAGCTGACTTATACACAACCTTAACACAACGCTGGTCTCCCCATCTCCATCGGCCACGTCGGGTATGAGGTATCTTCCATCTATTTTACTATTCTGTAAAATGGAACCAAATCGAACAACTTCCCTTATGTGTTCATGGCTTGGATGGCCATGATGAATTTAATAAAGGGTTACAGAACAAGGCAGAGCGTTGTACCCCACTAAAAACAAAACCCCACACTTCAATACCTTTTTCTTTTTTTCTTTTTCTTTTTGGTAGGAACTGAGCGCTGAAGTACCTTAAAACTGGTGTGCCTTATTGAATACCTGGAGGAAAACGAGGGGTGCGCGCAGCGATCACACGACGTGGCCTTGGCTATGACAAAACCGGCTTCAGTGTTTCTCCAGAAATCCAGCGGCCGGTGACCTTGGAGGCAACATCTTAAGCCGACCTGCCTCACAATGATCTGGTTGGGTGGTTGTTGGGAGTTTGAGAAAAAACACATGGAAAATACTCGATGTAAGCCGTTTTCGACCCTTTTTAGTAAATGGCTGCGCCTTTGTTTTGGAGAGTGATTCTTTTAGAACTTGAATAACACCCACAGCTTTTCCCCTCACGCGTGCAAATCACTTCCTAGAAAATGCCCAGCGCAACCTGCAAGTCTAGGATTAATAGGGGTGGGGAGCAGGCGAACCCGGTCGCCACCCATAATCCAGGAGTTCCCTGGAGGAAATGTACTTTTCATCTACAAACCAGGAATGGATCCGAAGCTGGAAGTTAAAGTCAGGTTGCAATCCTCAGGCTATTTCTTTGACAGTTAACCTCCTCGAAACAAACAGGATCCCTTCCAGAGAATATAAGGTGGGATCGTTAACGTGGCATTTCTGTTTCAGAAATCTGAATTAAAGAGGACGCTCTCTGGGCCCATATGTCTGGGGACACCGTTGCTACAATGGAGGCTGCCTTCTGTCCACTGGTCCATGTAGCTCACTGCTGTCTACATTGACCGGCAGCTGCTCTCCAAGGTTCATGACTGGAGGTATTGTAAGCCCTACCCGGAGGTGCTGGGGATTGAACCCAGGAGGTAGAGCTCAGCCAATATAGAGCATGAGACACATCATCTCAGGGCCGTGTGTTCAAGCCCCGTGATGGGCAAAAGATGCCTTCATTGCAAGGGGTTAGACTAAATGACCCTCGTGGTCCCTTCCAATTCTATGCTTCTATGACCTGCTAGGATTAGAAAGGGGGTTTCCAGCTCTTGTAGGGACGTTTTATACCCTGTGTGTAATTTTTAGAGGATCTAAGGCCAGAGCCCCACTGAGCCCCACTAGTTTCAGTTTCGACCAGACATCACAGGACTGTGTGAAAGAATCAGCAGGAGCAGGTTTTTGTTATGGCACAGGGAATGATGTGGCAGAAGAGACTGGGCAATGGGGCTGGGCAATGGGGACGTGTCCACCTGTTTAAGCACAGACAGTGGATGGACGGCTGGGAATCCTGAGAGAATGCCTTTGCATCTCTGGATCAAGGCCTCTGGGTGTTCCTAGCTTGGATCAACCGTTTTGTTAGGAATTATGTGTTTTTGGTTTTCATTTTTTAATTAATCTATATTTCTAATAACCTTTGTATCATGGGGGGAGGAAAAAAACCACATATTGCCATTTGCTCCTTAACTGGCCTTGGTGGGACCCTGAATGCAGCTTTAAGGGAGACCGCAATAGATAATTTTGCCTTGGAACAAGGGCGTAGCGACCAGAAAATGAAAATGCATAGCAAGCGGTGGATCATATGCAATTGCCACACTAAATTTATTTCCCCAGCCAGTGTTGCCTCCTACCAGGAATGGTGGTAGATGCATTGGCTGTGGCAAAAAGCAAAATTGCTGTGATGCGGGATCAAATGGCAAGAAAGACATCTACAGACACGCTCTGTAAGAACCTCTCGCCACGACAGTCGGGCTTCTTCTGACTGCTTTGGGCCGCGCCTTCAAGTGTGGGAGGTGGTTTTGCGAACAAAAGACTGCGCCAGGCCCCCGCCCCGAGGCGCTTACACGTTGTAATAAATTATAGAATTATAGAGTTGAAAGGGACCCAGATGGTCATCTAGTCCTTGCAGGAATCCTGCTCACAGGATTGGGCAAAGGGGTGGAAGATGGAGAAAGGCTGAGCACTGAAGCTCTGCTTAGTTGCTGCATAGTAGAGTCCTGCTTGTTCCCTTGCTCTCGACACCATAAATGAGCAACTCGCACCCGCAGTGTATTTCAGCCATACAGAATCGGAGTCACACCGGAGTCACACCGCAACGCTCTTAAACGCCCGAAGATGGGCGCGCATCAAACCAGCTGGAAGGTTGGTTGCGTAGGGCGCGACGGGATTGTGTGTGAGTTACCGTCGAAAGAGGCTCACCCTGCCACGAACCCCATTGAACTGAACGAGAAGACGGGCAGCGCTCCCAGCTTCTGTTCCTTTCAATGACTTCTCCGTGGATCGGGCCCTCTGTCACGATTATTATTCCAAGCGGGACTTGAATTATCGATGCCACTGCGCAGCTCGCTCGGATTCGGGGCGCACTGACTTACGCTAAAGTTAGCCGAGCACACGAGGACTTCCGACTCAACATCCTCACCGTCGAGCTGTCGGGATTTCGGCCGCTGGTTGGAGGCAGCGGACTCTAAACGCACCTTTTCCGCACACCCGGTTTCGGGAGGGCGGCTCGCTTTTCGGGTTTACGCAGGAAATCGATTCCTGCAATGCAAGAGCCGTCGCCCAAGAGACACCGAGCCTTAGAAATTCACTGTGTTTCATCCCTTTTACAGAGTCTGAGTTAGCACGACCTTGAGACATACTCTTCTCGCCCTTCAGGAGATAGATTGATAGATAAAATGCACCGAATTAAACTGGGATAACGAGCGGAACGAGGAGTCACCCCTTCGCTTTCCTCCCGGAGCGTTTTTATCATAATCGCTCTAGCATTAGATCTTATTTGTATTGCTTAAAAAAAAGGGGGGGTATCACACACATACACAAACAAATACGAGTCTCGTAGCACCAAGACTAACAAATGTAACTTCAGGCATGTCTACTCGGAAGTAAGACTCACTGAGTTCAGTAGGCCTAGGGGAAGTGTTACGTGACTTCAGCTTTCTCCGGGCAGAAGCTTTTCTGAATTGGAGTCCATTTTTATTAAAGAACAACCCGGGAAAACTTAACCAGCCTGTTAGTCTTTAAATGGCCACATGATCCGGACCGCGTGCGGGAGAGTTTATGCGCTGTAACAGACTAGGGCTAACGCAAACCCTACCTATAAATCCGATTTTCCTATCGAATTCAGCCTTTCTGAGTAAAGACGTGGTTCGGATTGTGCAGTTAAGGCTGCAGTCGTGTCCCCTTTTAAACCTGGGAGTCAGCCCCATTGGATTCAATGGGACCTACTTCTGAGCAGCGACTTACAGAATAGCTGCAGTCGCTGCCCATTTAACTGACAAGAAGCCTCACCGAACTAAAAGGGACTCACGTCTGACAGAGCATAAGATTGCTCTGTGAAAAGCGCACCCCCCCCCACTTCCAAAAGTCGTCGTGTTGCGCTTCGCCTCTTATCTTGTGAACAGAACGAAAGAAATTCAATTGCGGGACAGGGTGGTGGAATAAAACAGCAGCTGGGCTGTCCCTCGTTAGGGTGGCACTTCGGGCCGTGACTCAGTGGGAGAGGAATCGCTGGGCAAGCAGAAGCTCCGGGTTCAATTCGTGGCATTTCTGGGGCTGGAGACACCCCCTCCCCGAAACCCATATACAGTATATATATATATATATTCCTTCCAGTAGCACCTTAGAGACCAACTAAGTTAGTTATTGAGCTAAACGGTTTGACTCAAGTTACTGGCTAGCGACACACCTTTAGCCCCCCACTCCAACCCCCCTTCCCATTTCACACGATTTTAAGCAGCCGCCAGTTTTGCCACGGACTTTAACAGATTCAGACCCGGTCTACGGCTCCGCAGTTGGATTGACTGGAACCTTTTATGGTCAGTGCTCTACCTTGCAGGGTTGTTGTGAGAACTGAACGAGGCAGCGAGAGAACAACGTGTGGCGCGTTCCTTGGGAGGAAGGGGGAAATACAACACAGAATCACACACACACGTGTGTGTGTGTGTGTGTAATAGTATGAGGAGGAGGAGGAGGAATTGCATCTTGCCTTCTGTCCGGATAACTTTCTGACAGTAGTAAGAGCTGTTCCAGGAGAGGTGGGGGGCTCTGCTTTAAAAAAGCACCCGTCAGGTATGCTCGAGTTGAGTTTCCTGCATCGCAGCGGGTTGGACTAGACTAGATGACCCCGCCGATCCCTTCCAACTCTACTAATTCTAGGATTCAGACAAACAGTGGTTTCCCCCCACCAACGATCAAGTGAGAACGAGGAGTACCCGACCTGATGCTGCTGACGTGGACCTCAAGCGGTGTGAACTCGGAACCGGAGGTCTACTCAGACGTAAGCCCCATTGTAGTCAATAGGACTTACCGGTACTTCCAGGTATGCCCGTAAAGGACTGCAGCCTTCTTATCCCATGCCAACTTTTAGCCACGTTTTGTCATTAATATTAATCATATCAATCATATTGTTGTTATATTAACCAATAATAATCATCATAACAACAACAACAATAATAAATGTTATTATTATTATTATTAACCATCATGCTCATTATTAACCTATTATTGACCTATTATTGACCTATCATCATCATCATCGTCAGTTACCATTGCCTTGCGTTTTCCTTCTGACGCTGGGGAGAAGGCAAACATTGGAGCCACGTGGAAATGTAACATAATCAAATATTCCAGTTATGCCGCGGCTGCCCCCCGCCCCCCCCCCGCCAGTTTCTTCTGTTCGCGGAGCACCTTTCAACTTCAAGGACTTTGCACCAATATAAACCAGATCCAGAGCCGGGCGGCTTTTCCTCCCCGCTCCGCCGCCGCCGCCCCACCTCACTCTCTCCCTTCAGATCTAAACTTAAAACATATATCATAGATCAGTTTTCATCCTGCGAATTTAGGCGCAACCCCGAGACCTGTCTTTTCAAAGGCAGTCGAGGCTGGAGTCTGCTATATTTAATCCAGCCAGCTATTAAATGTCCTCCGGCTTGAATCGCGAATTTCAAACAGGAATCTGGAAATGGGGATAATGACAGGGGTTTTCCCCCCTTTCTTTTTCCTTTTCCTTTTTAAACAGTTGAGTTAGGGAAGGAGGGAGAGGGAGGAAGACAATTCCTGGGTCTTTGATTTTGATTCCCCGCCTCCCCACCCCCCCCCCAAATGAAAAATAAAAATGAAGAGAAATAAATGAAATATCAGCTCAGCTCTAAGACCCTGCACAATTTCTAAATAAATATCAACAATTGTCCTCTTTATCCTATTTTCTGTCATGAGATGCAGCTCGTCCTACTTGGTGTAAAACAAACACATTGTTATTTCACAGAAATTGCTGCTTTTGCCTAGGACATGCATCATACATTTAAATCACATTTAATGACTTCCCCAAAAGAACCACCGTGAGAACTTTAGTTTACCCATCACAGAACTACAATTCCCAGCACCTTTAAACTACAGCTTCCAGGATTCTTGGGTGTGTGGGTGCAGCCATGTGCTTTAAGTATGCTTTAAATGAAACATGTTTGTCATTATTTACAGGATTAACAGATTAATTATTATGAAATTTCTATGGAACACAGCCCACTTCATCTCATGCATGACACACTCTCTTTCCTTACTTCCATTTGTATGGACAGGAAAGATCTGTGATAATAATTGTTTTTGATGCAAAGCTCAGAATATACAAGGCAACGTACTGAGCCATCCACAACAGCAGTAGCAGCTGGTGAGAACAAAAATCACCCTAGTTTTTATATGCTAACATTACACCTGCTGTGGGAGAGAAAACCCTGGTCTGGATTGAGTCCTAAACACATGGAATCAAAGGTTGCTGAGACTCACATGCTGGAATCTCACTTTGAAGTTCCTGTGCTGGGAAAAAAAATCATTTCACTCTATCCCCACCCATCTCCTCATTATTCATTTTGACCTGCCTCTGACTGGTTTATTGTGTCCAAAGAGCTGCTAAGTTTCCCTTTCCTGTGTTGCCACCCCTGACTTGCAATTGGCTCATCCCCTCTCTGTGATTTTTCACTCTTTTGTGGAGTTGAATTCATCTATAAAGAAATTGGTGGAGGCTCAACACACACACATCTGATCAGTGACATTGTGGATATGATTCCAATGCACACTTACTTACCTGTGAGTATCACATCCTTGAACTGAATAGGATATACGCATCTGCATTATTAAGTATGTTTAGGATTGGGCTGGAAACTCTCTTCCTTGAATCAATGGGATGCAGGGGGGGGGGAGCTGATCTCACAAATTACAGTGGTACCTTGGGTTACAGACGCTTCAGGTTACAGACTCCAGTAACCCAGAAATAGTACCTCGAGTTAAGAACTTTGCTTCAGGATGAGAACAGAAATTGTGCTCCAGCAGCGCGGCAGCAGCGGGAGGCCCCATTAGCTAAAGTGGTGCTTCAGGTTATGAACAATTTCAGGTTAAGAACGGACCTCCAGAACAAATTAAGTTCTTAACCCGAGGTACCACTGTACCTGAAAGCAAATTCCACAGCAACCTATGTCCTCCTGAATATATGCAGATGTTTTATGCCTGAGCCCCAATGTCCTTTCCCAGAACTTTCATAGGATCTGAGTCCAGCGGATTCTGTGTAAATGGAAAAAGGTCAGCAACAGTTTCTTGTTAGGAAACATCTCCAAATAATAATAATAATGTAATAAATTACAAGGTACCTGCAATTCTGTTTCACTAAACTCAGTAGGACCTTTCTGCACATATTTCAATTAAAATGTATACAATTCAGTCAAACTGGGTGACCACAGGCCAGTCAGTTTAATCTACCATACTGGGTGGGTGCAAGGATAAGATGGGGAGGGGGAGGAAGAGGAGGTTGGGACTGCGTGGAGAAAAGTCTGGATATCCATGTACAAATTAAGAAATGAAATCCTCTTCTCATGCGGCAGTTCCCTGGTTTATGCCACAACAAATTTGTGAGGCACCACAAGATGGTTTGCTGTTTCTGATACAGCAAACCAACAAGGTGACACTTCTGAAATTTGAAATCAGCGGGACCTAAAAAACCTAAAAAGCCTTTAGGTAAGCACATTTGTTGTTGTTGTAGCTGCTGCTGCTGCTGCAATTTAATTAGCAGAAATAGCAAAAAAGAAAACATTGAAACATTCTCAGATCACATTAGCAATAAGAAATAATCCATCGATCCTGCCTTGAACATATACATGAATAAAAGCAGTCCATATGGATATCAAAACAAGATTGAAGAATGGCAAGATTGATAAGGCAAGAGGTTCAAACGCAGAAAGGAAAGTTAGTTCATCAGATTGCCAAACAGTATATTTCAAGTCTAGCTTTTAACCTGCAAAGTGCTTTACAGTCCTTTTCATAATTGGTGATGATCACCCCCATTTCACAAATTGGAATAGCCATATGCTGTATCCCTGGCAAAGGTGAAGCATGAACCAAGCCAAATCTTGAGACAGTGGAGAGTGTTAGCTTTTTGAAGTGTGTGTGTGTGTGTGTGTGTGTGTGTGTGTGTGTGTTACTAGCCAAGGGTTCTCTGTAGGGCACATTGTGAATGAAGAGACAGTGTACTCTAATGGCTGATCAAGCAATGGGGATGGTCTAGGGTCGGGATGTTTCTAGCTCCAACTTATGACCTCCCTGACCCTTGCATGTGCTGGTTGGGGCTGATGGGAGTTGGAGTCCAACTGCACTGGGAAGGTACCAGGTTGAGGAAGGCTGCTTCAGCCTCTCTTACAGGGCTCTTGTGGAGCTAAAATGTCATTAGGCACAAACATACCATATGCTGCCCTGAACACCATGGATGCAAAGTGGAATACAAGTGTGAAGATGACTGTTTCTGGCTACTCCATACACTCTTGCATATGGTTGCTGCTGTTAAAAATATTTATTTGCCGCTTAATATTTTTAAAGATCTAAAGTGGTTGGTCTACAAAGCCACTCCCGACCTAATGAGGGGGTGGGGTTGCGGGGTCACGCCCCCGAATACAATCTCGCGGGGCTGGCGTCGGCGAGCCTGGCTCGTGTGGGGGTTAGGCATTGGCGGGGGTATTGTTATGCA